AATAAAAAATCTTTTTTTTATTTGATTTATACAATTATGCTGAAATAATTCAGTTTTCTATGCGCCGAGAAATTATGTACGTTTCCGAACAAGTTTGTTACTTCGCAGGATTTGTGCTTTCATTTTTAAGTCTAGTGCTATCCTTTTTCTCCTCTTTCTCTTTCTATTTATCTATCTCATTTGCTATTCTGGCATGCGATTATTCTCTCACGCGTGCATATTATTGCAGTTTGCAGCATAGATAGAAGAAATAATTGGACCGCAACTTCGTTAACAAATAACGCGCACGATTTAACATTGCAATAAACGTCATTTATAAAACTATAGAACCATTTGGATCACACATTGTATGTTCACATTCAATGGGAATATTTTTCAACATTTCGCTATAAAAAACTGTTCTCATGTGATCAACTTGTATTCAGCTTCCACGAATCCGTGCTAGTCGAAAACATACAGCGCTTCGTTTCAGAAACCACGTGGCGCAAATAATCGAGTTCCATCTGATTATATCTTTCCCGCTTTGCCTGAATAGACACAACCTTCTTCTTCCATATCAAGTTCCCCTGACATTGGTTATCGCATTGTAGAAAGAGTTGTCCGACTATGTAACTTACCAAAAGGCTAGGTAGATCTAGTCATTTTTTTTTTTACGTTCATACTCGATCGAGTCTAATTCAAAGTAACGGTTAAAAGAGAATGTCTGTCGAAAACGTCATTAAATCGTGATGACACAATAATAGGATTAACGATAAGATAAGCGACTGATAAATCCAATCAGCTGTGTATTAATGATAAAATTACACAAGTCCTAAAATTCCAATATCCGTGACCTCAAATCCCTACTCCGACAAACTGATCACAAAAGCTTGTATTTTGGAAAATCGGTAGAACACAAATCGACGCTACGAACATTCCATAAGATTTATTATTACAATAAATATTGTTGCAATAAATTTATTATCATAAATGACCTTTAAGACCTATAAGGGATTGAGAGAGGTATTTATTATTGCTGCTGATTTCTCAGACTCTTACAAACAATCGTCGTGCAACTTGCTCGAGGCGCAACAATGCGTGGACGAGTTACATTTACGAAAAAGAATATACGATCGAATTATACTTATAAAGGCAATAGATAAATCGGCGATCAGCTGTGAAGTTTGTTTTTCACGGGAGAGATAAGGCGCGCGCTCCCTCCGAACGTTTCTCCCTCACGAACAATTTCGCAAAGCAACAAAGAGCTCTCCCACCGTTTTAGGATCCGCTTTCCTCGATAGTTTCATGTACTCGGTGCGTTCACCTTGATTATTAAAATCTTAACTGTTTCCCGTACGTACAAAATGGCAAAATGGCGTGTCCCAGTAATCCCCCCACCCCCTCCCTATTTTTCTCTACGCAGCGCATATACGGCTCGCAGGCCGGTCCAGTACTCCAGTTATATATCTCACATACGTGGTTCGTCGTGAACGTGACTACGGATTGAAGTTGGCATGGCTAACTTCACTCCGAACTACGCGCGCGCGCGCTCGCGCGGGCGCGTCACTCATCGCGCGCCTGAAGATCCTTTATTGCGAGCGATGATGCGAGAATCGCCAATGATAATGCAATCCACAGAAATAGACGCGCAAATATTTCGCGGAGATACAATTTACAATTCGGAGAACACGAAGTTATCGAGACGACAGACGGCACCGACGATCGCAGGTGTCGAACCTCGTGCGAATTCACGAGTTCCATTTTTTTTTTTTTCGACGCAATATTATTGGAGGTCTGTTCGAGTTTGCACTTTTTGCACTTGGATTTCTCTCTTTTCAACGTCCGACTACGTATTTATTTTTGGAGATTTCAGGCAACGCGAACGAACCTCGAGTCTTCAGATCGATTCTTTTCAGTTGAACTTCTTGCACGATTCGTCATTTCTCTTTTTTTTCCTTCAGCTTGAACGTAAAAAAGGAAAAACGACCCGTGCAAGAAGTTCAGTTGAAAAGAATAGGCCTTTCGTTCTCACGAAGTAGGACGAATTGGAAAACATTTTTGTTCGGCGTACGCGAAGTTCGTATTCTTCTCGACTCGCAACGCAAATCCTGCGAACCCGGATCTCGTTTCCGGGAAAAAGAGAGAAGGTAACGAGCGCGGAAAAACGGAATCATGTTTTTCACGCTCGCCGTCCCGAAACCGTTGACGTCACTGCACGAAGTATTCTCTCACGCCCGTATTTCGCGCACGCGATACAACGGGCGACGCAATACGGCGATTTCATCGGAAGCGAATTGCGTAGGAAGATGAACGCCACGACGACCGATCAACGTGGCCGTTGGGCGGAAAACAGAAGGCACGCCACGGTGAGTCGTCGCGTCTCGTGACACTCGCTTCGCGTGAAAAATGGCGACGAAACCTCGAGGCGTCTCGAGGACACCTCGGGACGAGAAAAGAAGTCCCTCATGGAAGGCTCCAAGGGGTTAGGGTGTCGGCGGATGCGGAGGCGTGTCGCGCGTCACACCGCACACGTCGTCGTCGCGAGCCGTCCCGGAGCGCCGCTTCCGCACCGGAAATGGAACGCCGAGACAGGATGGCGAACTCGAGGAAACCAAAGAGTCCCTCACCGAAAAGAAGCAGCGACGAAGGGCGTTCCGCGAGGATGCTCGAAACGAAAGAAGCATAGCCGGGACGCTCAGCACGATTGCCTGGTGCTCCGCAAGTCACTTGTCGAGAACGCGCATGCGCGAACGCATGCGCGATGCCTCCTCACGGCACACACGGCTCTACAGCCGACAAAACGGGATGTTTTGTCACCTCCGAATCTAGCGATTTTCTCAACATTCTTGTTTTTTTGGATTTTTTTTATTTTCAATCGGATAAAATACATTGTATGAAAAAACGTAACGTGCATTTTCAATAATGGACATATTATTGACTTTCAATAAAGTTATTGTATATAATGATAATAATTTACAATAAAATTATTATTGATATGTTATTGATTTTTAATATTATTATTATTTTATTTGTAATAAGCGATTTCTGGAAGTCAAGGTGAAAATTACAAAACGAATTAGTGAATTCATTAAAATATTTATAATTTCATTGGTTAACTTGTGTAGTAAATTTGTTCACTTTTGTAATTTTTATCTTGTTTCGAGATAATCAACCTCCGCAAAAACGGTGCTTTAAAAAAGATCTGAATACTCTCACAGTTGCAAACTTCAAAGGATTAAAAAGTTATGGGGACGAGGGAGCTTTGTTATAACGCGATTTATTTTTTGATTTTTTCGTTATAACAGGAATCATTTTATTGCTATAGGAAAAAGTTATATTCAATAAACGCGATCAGCCTCGTGAATTCCGAGTCTTTCGTCGCAGTTTCCCGAACAGAGAAGTCTCTGAAAAAGCTGACTAGATGTATTAACGCGCGCATCTTCTTCGCGCGGCTTTCCGAACTTTTCGCGACGATGATCCGCGAGTTCCGGTATCGTAACAACTTACCGTCTCTTCGTTCGCCACGGTGATTGTCGGAACCGCGAAAGTTTCCGTTCGCGCCTCATTACAATGTACTCTCTGATGTGCTTATTAATAACGCGTGACGAACGAAGGACGAAGTTCACGACTTGCCCAGCAGTAATCGCACAAAGCCCTCGCGCCACGAGGCGCAAAGAGGCAAAACGTAATCCACCATGAAGACGTTTTCCGTTACTCGCTCCGCTGTCCGTCGGGTGATTAACCGGTAAAAAATATTCCTAGGGCGAAAAAGTCGCACGGAACGACCGAGGACCTCTCGCAGGTTCAAACGTTAGGAGCAGAAGTACCGATTTTTGTATAAATATCCCGAAATACTGTACAGTAAGCCTTACCCCAAATACAATAGATGTAGTAGGAAGTTTCAAGCCTTAAGAAATTGATCAATCACAGTCGAATGTGAGAAAAATAATCGACTATGATTGGTCAATTTCTTGAGGCTTAAGAAGGTTGCACTTATTATGTTTGCGGAGCTAAGCAGATATTGACCAATTACAGTTGGATATGAAAAGAATAATCAACTATAAATAGTCAATTTACGGCTTAAGACCTAAAGCTTAGGTAATGACTTATTGTAGGAACCCCCCTCCTCCTCATTACTACATCTAATTGTGTTTTGGGACACATAACGTATAAAAAAATCAATCCTGAGTCTTTCATGGAAAGGAAGGAAATGAAGAACTTGATTAATTCATTTTTTTATGCATTATGCAAGACTCTCTGTGCTCCCATCCTAAGCCACTGCCTAAGTCTTAAGCCTCCAAGAAACTGATCAATTATAGTTGATTGCTCTTCTCACATTCGACTGTGACTGGTCAATTCCTTAAGGCTTAAGGTTTACTACACCAACTATGTGTCTTGGGTCTTAAGAGAAATATCAATCTCTCGACGTTCCGCGAGTCTCTGTTCCTCCAGTTTGTCCGTTTTATCGTCTTATACGCGACGATCAACTGCGTAGCGAGTTTGATTTTAAATTATAAAACAGCTTCCATCCAATGCAGCGAAATGACGTGTCAATATATAGTTATAATTAAATGCAATTTAAATAAGAAAAATATTAATATTGAGAGGACCGAGAAGTTTCTTTTTATTTGCCCATACAGCACAGATCATTCCAACAATAATACAGCAACATTCGCAATGTTTCAGCAATATTGCGATAATAAAAGTTATTGTAATGTTACTGGAACGATTTATGCTGTATAGTATGAATGCCGCTGATTAAAGCGATCAGAGTAAGAGCTGATCGCGCGAAGCTCGAATGAAATCAGTTCTGGCTGTTCTGAGGCTCTCTGTGAATTCTCTAGTATTAATCCGAGTGTCACCCCAAGTGCGCCCTGCGTGCAGCCGCCTCTGTCACGGATCGCACTACTTTTCCATCGCATCCCACCCGGGCGCGCCGTGTGTACGGGCTGGTGGTCGCTGATTGGCGAACGACGATCGCCGGGTGCGCGACGGGGGCATCGCAACACGAAGCGGGACCCTCTCGACGACTGGGCGCATCTATCAATGCGCAATCGCATCGGAGCTGTAGACGAAGTCGGGGAGGTCTGCCGAGACGAGGAATAAACACGGTGGCTGGTCCGCGCACAGGCACACGGGCATCGGCGAGAAGTGGGCGGCGGAGGGAGTCGAGCGAGAAAGAGAGAGAGAAAGAGAGAGAGGGGAGACATAGTGGGAGAAAGCGAGAAAGAGGGAGAGAGCGAGAGAGAGAGAGAACGGGTGATACGGTCCGTGCGTGCGAGCGAACGAGAGAGGGAGTGAGAAAGACGTGAGCAAGATAGAGCGAACGAGTAGGCCAGCGAGACGATCACGATGCACGGAGGCGAGCACAAGCGGCCAGGGGCACAGGGCTGAGGGCTGAGGGCTCGACGGGGCCTCGAGTTACGTTCACGGGCCGGCCGCGACGCAGCCAGCGAGCGATGGAGCAGCCCAAGACTCCGGCGTCCCGGCTATTCAACACGACCTGCATCGAGAACAAGGACGACCTGGAAGAGGTAACATAAATATTTGAAATAGTCACTGGGTACGTATCGGGTGCGAGGGCCTCCGCCATTGTTGCGACGGTCGCGCACGTTGGTGAATGCGCGGCGCCACTTGCGAAAATCCACCTTTTCGCGCGATATTCGAACTTGCCAAATGTGATATCATCCTCGGGAGGACGAGAGTTTCCATTTCTATTCTTCTCTGTTTCCTTCCGTTCTCTCCATGATCTTTGCTTCCCTTCCTTGTGTTCCGTCAAGCAACTTCATCGTGACACGTGATTTTTCTAAATGGCTCCGGAAGCTTTTCAGAACTTTTCAGCAAGAAACACTTGACAGGGGATGCTTTTTCCAGTCAGAAACAGTGAGTGCTTTCCATTTGGTGACACGAATCGTCACAAGTATCATTTTGTCTTTGTTACATATGAATGTAAAGAAAAATAGAACAACACTTATGTCAACTTGTGTCAACTTGTGTCTAAATGAAAAGCACCTAGTGAATTTCGTTATTTCGCCAATGTTAAACAAAGATGGAATCACTGTGTTGTATTATTGATATTTTCTTATAAAAGACACAGTATAACACAGTGATCATTTCATTTTTGTTCAACATAGAATGTTTTTCAAGAGACACAGATAACACAGTATAACATAATGAATATATCCTTATTGTTTGCCAATGTTAAATAAAAATGAAATAATTACTGTGCATTATATTGTCTCTTGGCAAACAACAAAATTGTGGTAATTCATTGTATTACCCTCTGTGTTTCTTGCTGGAAAGCACCAAGTGTAACACAGTGAATCATTTCATCTTTATATAATATTAGCAAATGTCAAGGGGTACCATTTGGTATCCAATTGATATGTGTGTTTATCTTTGTTAATTACTGGAATATCAAGAAAGTTAGAATAATGTTTATGTCGACTTGTGCTAATAAATGGAAGGATCCAGGGATATACAATAATAATTTACTGTGTTATCTGTGTTTCTTGTTAGAAAACATCTGGAGTATCTCCTCTTGTGTGCTCAAAGATATTTGTACTTTATTAAATAAAAATTTACTCAAACTTGCGTATTTTTTTTCCATTTAGAATCAGCGAAATTGAGTGAATTGATACAATGTCTTTTCAGAAATTGGAGAGATGTCATTCGACGTTGCAAAATTTGATCACGGGACTCTCGGAGAAGGAAGCCCACGACACGCTGAACAATGCAGTGTGCAAAGACAAGACGCACGAGGAGGTTTCCCTAGGTTTACTAGTGATCATCTTGACAGAACCGCAGAATGCTGCAAAGAGTTACAGAGACTTGACATTGATCACACGAGATGGCCTAGGCATTGTGTTGCTTCATCTAAATCAATTAGTACTGGATAAATATTTGAGATTAAATGACGTTACCAGGAGTCAGTTATTGTGGTTGCTAAGGGAAATGATAAGGACTAGTGTAACTAATGTGGATAATCTTTGTTTGACTTTGTTGAGACATGCGGCAGGCGGGGATATTTCCCCAAAGAACTTATTCCTAGTTGACGCCCTCTTAGATATTTTTCAAGAAAATCGAGCGTGGTTGGATAAATTTTCTTTTTTAGTAGCATCAATTGTGTACACATATTTACGGTTAATAGAAGACCACAATGCACCTCATTTGGCTGGTTTAAGGCAAAAGGAAGTGACCTTCACAACATCTCTGATAAAGGAACGAATGGCAGACTGCCTAGCTATTGGAAGGTATATATACTAAGGCGATTAGAAAACTTTAAATAACATTGACATAAATTAATGTAATTATATTTTTCAGAGATTTGGTTCGCTTGCTGCAGAACGTCGCGAGAATACCGGAGTTTGAAGCACTCTGGAAGGATATATTACTCAATCCGAAATCTCTCTGTCCAAATTTTAACGGTGTTCTTCAATTATTACAAACTAGAACCTCCAGAAGATTTCTACAATCTCGTTTGACGCCGGAAATGGAGAGGAAACTCGTGTTTCTGACGAGTAACGTCCGTTTCGGCAATCACAAGCGTTATCAGGATTGGTTTCAGAGGCAATACTTAGCAACACCTGAATCTCAATCGTTAAGATGTGATCTAATTCGCTTTATCGTTGGAGTCATACATCCCACGAACGAACTGCTGTGCTCTGACATTATTCCGCGATGGGCAGTAATAGGCTGGTTATTCACAACGTGCACTTCTACCGTGGCTGCCAGTAATGCAAAGCTAGCTCTGTTTTATGATTGGCTGTTTTTCGATCCTGACAAAGACAATATCATGAATATTGAACCTGCAATTCTTGTTATGCATAATTCAATGAGGTCTCATCCACCTGTCACTGCCACACTTCTAGATTTTTTATGCAGGGTGAGTTGCACTCGTTCATTTCACTGGAAAATTCTAAGTATTGAAATAAAGTAAATAATAAATAGAATTTAATTTTATGTATATATATATATATATATATATATATATATATAAATTTATTTAAATTCTGAATAATAAAACAAAATATGATTTACAGATAATACCAAACTTCTATCCTGCGCTAACGGAGAAAGTCAGAAACGGCATATTTTCGTCATTGCGACAAATTTTGGAAAAACGCGTTTTGCCTAGCCTATATCCGTTATTTGATAGTCCGAAACTTGATCGAGAATTAAGAAGTAAAATACGGGAAACTTTTAAGGAATTTTGTCTACCACCAAATACAGAAATGCCTGGTAAAATTTATTATTAATATATAATATATAAACATTGTATTATCATATTAACACCTTATCACATTATCATATAAAAAAGTACTTCAAATAGAAAAAAAAATTTTCAGTATATAATTTCTTCAATTGAAAGAAATTTGAATTGTCTATCATTGGTTCACAAAAAGATTTTGATGAAAGTGATGAAAGTAGATCCGAGAATTGTTGGAAATAAATTATTTGCATCATGAATAAACTTGAATAAATTCATGAGGTAGTGCCTTTTGGAGCCAAACATAAGATGTTGATGTGAAATGAGATTTATTTATTCACATATCTTCGCTAAATTAATCAATTTGAATAAATTTTTAACAAAAAAAAAATACATTATCTTGTAATCTATTATACTAGATATAACTACTAATCTATTATACTAAATATATCTACTTGCTGATAACTGATTTTGACATTTTATAAATAATGTGCTAACTTGTCAATTTGAGAAGAATTTTAATTTATTAGAATTATATTCATTGAAAAGTTTGAATAGCTCTTTTTGATAAATATTAGACAATTATTTTAGCATTTATATTCAAAAATTCTTGAAAATTAGTTACAATTAAATTAAATTAATGTAACTTTAAATTAATGTAACTTTTATAGAAAGAGATTTATTATCCTAACTTGATTATCAAAAATTTATTTATTACTAAGACTACACTATAGTGTTTTTAATATCATCTTTAATACCACATTTCTGAAATTCATGACTCAAAATATAACAAAAAGGAAACGTGAAGTTAAAAAGTTATTTTTTGAGTTTTTATTCCAAGCACTAATTTTTAAGAGCACAAGTTTATAAAGGTTAATCATTTGCTGTTTAGATCACCTGCCACATAGTCATTACTATTACTGCACGCACAGATTCATGGTCATTAATCATTAATCTGATTATAATCATTAATGATCATTAATCATTATACGTCATTTAAAGAAGGGTTTTTTTTTTTCTTTAGGTTCCTAACCTTATATCTCAGTTGTGATTGGCCCTTGTGTTACAAAAATTATTGCTCGAAGTAAAAATCTGTAAATAACTTTTTTATTTCAGTTTTCTTGTTATAATAATTTCAGTCGTGAATTTCAGAACACTAATTTTGATGTTACATCAAAGTTCAATTATCAAGTCTTTCAAAAAAATTTATATTTTCCATTATATATAACATATATTTCTGGATGAAAGTTTATTGGAAACAGGTTAAAGTCAGATTTCCATGGAATTTATTCTTGATGTTAGAATTATATTAACTTGGTCAAATTGAAATAATATTTCGAAAAAAAGGAGAGAATTTTTAAACAATAATGTCGGTATTAGCGATGTGCGATCTCCATTAATTAAATCGATCTCTGAATCAATCTTGAATCGGATTGATTGAAATCGATCTACTAAAAATCAGAGCTGAATAAATCGATCTATTGGAGATTGATTTAATTAAAATTTTTTTAATAACATCCCAGTGAGATATGACAATGGAATAGATGTCGAATCGACGTTAATTTGATGATTTCAGCGTCAAATCGATATTGATTCCATTGTTACTTCTGTGAGATCATATAAATTGAACAAAAACAATTAAATCATGATTTTGGTTTATAAAATTCGAGTAAAATAATTTTAATTTAAAAATCTAGATTTAAACTAACATCTGGACTCCTATTCTTGAAAAGAATCACATACGAAAAATTAAAGACATACTATAGTGTACGTAACATATACGATAGTATTTTCCTAGTTTTTCGTATGCGATTCTTTTCGAGACTAGGAAGCTTGTTTTGCAAAAAAATCAATCTTTTAGATTTTTAGAAGATCGAATTTAGATCGCACATTCCAAATCAGTATTGTTAATATGGTTGTGGTTTATTATACATATAATAAAAAGATTGTGTATTGTATATAATGATAATATAACGATACTTAAATTTAGTAGAGACTTTGAAAACATCTTAAATATAAAATCTTGTGTTCATGATGAACAGAAAAAAAATTGACCAATTGCATTAGCTAAATTGTTCGAGTTTTGTGTGATTTGTTAAGTCTTTCCCCACCCAATTTTTAGCATCATAGACACAAGACTTAAGGAAAAAATACTACTCTATATCCGAGATTTTTATCCGAATTGTACTACACGTTTTAGTAATCTTTTATTGAACCAAGAGCTTTCAAACAAGTTTTTTTTCATAAAAATTTGTAGAAATTAAAAAAGGTATATATTAAGAAATCGTACTTGAAAATGCATTAAATGTTCAGAAAATCTTCCAGTTTTTGGATATATAATCATGTCACACAAATAGCAAGCTGATTATTTGTTGTCATTTTGACTTCAACATGATATATTAAAGATTATTTAACGTTAAAATGACAACAAGTAACGTCAGCTTGTTATCTGGATAGTAATGAATTGTGACATATGTATTACCATGATATATTACCGCGCGTCCATTTTCTGCGACAAATCTGACGATTCACTTTCAGCTTTCAATACATTTATCACTTACTAACTTTTTACATCATGTCCTTAAGCAGGTAATAAGGTTCTGAAATATTCAGGTAAAATGGAAGAGCTTAACAAGGAGCACAATCCAGGGACTGTAATAGAAAATATCACAAATTCTACCACGGAGAACAACCATGTAGCACAAGATCCAGAACCAGCATTCAGTGATGAAGAAGAGGAGTCTCCTCTCAGGTTAACTATCCATTTTATATATTAATGCAATATTTATTTATATTTAGTATAACATATACTAATCTTTTCGATATGGAAGGATCATAGACTAAAGTTTTATTTTATCTTATGATTCATCAATACATTCGTTATAGTCATGAAACAACAGTAAAAAACATGAGATTCAATTATAACTTTGACCGCAGTTATTGTGACTGTAGTTGCTGATTACTCTTTGATCATGACGAATCTATTTTTTGCACTGAACAAAAATTAAACTTCGTATTACAAACGTAATCTTAATTAAATGAATTTATTTGTATTTTAGAATAGTGACGAAAGTGGAAGAGGAAGAAGACGAGGAGGATGTACCATTGTCTGCTGTAAAATTGAAAAATGATCAAAAGAACGCGAACTGCGTCGTGAAGAAGGAGGACATTACGTCGCATTTACGTCTCATATTGGAGCCGGAAGAGTTGAGAACTAGTATAGAAACATTGCATACGGAAACCGACAATGAGTCGAGATGCCAAGCGATGGAAAGGATAGTACAAATGGTTGTAGAGGACGAAATAGATGCAGAGACGATACCCGCGTTAGCGTCCTGCATATCAACTATTTTATTGCCACAGATCACGGCGCAGATTTTTCCATCGGATAATCTAAATGAAGAAGTATTGGCTGATAGTATAAGCACACCGTTGTTTGTTATGTTTCGAAACCAGTTTCAATTATGCAAAGAAGAAGATAATAGACGGAAGCTTTTGGCCAGAGTGCTAGCGGAAATGCAATCAATTCAATCTAGGATAGGTTATCTCCTTCTTTATTTCTTAAAAGTCTGGGGCAGAGAAGAAGAGAAAAGAGAAGGCGAACCGAGGTTAGACGAAAAATATGAATATGAATTATTAAATAGATAAAAAGTAAGAAAAAAAATTTAACTTTTGAATTGTTATATTTCAGCAATGTTCTGAACGATGTCAAAGCATCAGTATATAAAGACTTCTGCGCGCAGCGAGAAAAAAAATTGGACGTTTGTCTAGTGTCAGATTTAAAGGTATGAATTTTGTATACAAATATAAACAAATATCATATTTCAAGCGATATATTTTAATATGTTTGCTTTTGTTGCAGCTTTGCCACGAAGATAACATATTCATGTTATGTTATCTCGTGCCTGACGTATACATAGGGTTTCAAAATGTCGCTGTCGGAAATGTTCAACTGTTGCATCTTGTCGTGTCCACTGTGGATTCGTGCCAGTTACAGGATCTAGTTTGTCAAATAATGCAAGGCCATCTAAAGATGTTGAAGAAGGAATCGTTCACCACGCTATTAACAGCCAGCTTAAATTGGGAGACATTCGAGCAGTACTGTTTCTGGCAGCTTATATTCGCACACGATTTTCCCATTGATTACGTACTGCCAGTTTTGCCAAAATTACAGTTTCGTAATCACGCGGAGGCACTTACTTCAATCTTGTTTATGCTTAAGCAAGAAAAGTGAGTAAAATAATTGCTGATTATTAGAAAAATTATTGTAGAACAATTCGATATATGAACTTTATATTTGACTAATGCATTATAGGCCAACGTTGGATCTTCTACGACAATTACTCGCCCGACAAAGCGTTGATGGCGATATGTTTGTTGTGGCAACGCTACGTTATTGGTGTCGCGATTACGAAGAGAAACTTGGCGAGCTGCTTGCGAATTTACTTAGCACCCGTTATCCTGCGACCAGTCCGAACAAACGGAAACGTTCTGGAGCCAAACAGAATCAACAATCTGCTGGTCCACCTACCGGCGAACAAGTTCTTGGTCATTTGGATCAATTACGTCAACACTGTATGTCCTCCGCGGAATTACAATTATATCACTCGGAAGGAATGCAAAGGGCATTACAGCAGGCGCAGGCGGCGAGTAGTGATTCACTGAGGAAAAGTTACGGCGATCTTTTTGCGCTTGCAGAAGTCAATGAAGAGAACGAACCGCCACCACCGAGTAGTTCTGCGAGAAAACACACTGCTTCCTCTGGAGGTGGGGCCAGTGGTAAGGGTGGCCATAGGAAAACTGGTGCTAACACGAGAGAAAGATCCAATTTGAAGAGACCACTTCCACGATATCATATTGATAGTACCTCTAGTAGCGAGGTAAGATTTTTAGAAATGATATTTATGTAAATTATATGTGGATATAATTATATATACATCAATTACACACACACACACACACACACACGCGCGCGCGCGCGCGCGCACGCATGCACAATTATTTATTATTATTGAAAAATTGATTTTTCTTCTTCGTTCACAGGAAGAAGAAATCGTGAATCCAAAGCAAGCGAAAAAAAGGAAAAAGATCAATCCAGTGGGCTCGGACAGCGACTGACCACCCAGTGTCTTCATATGTCACATGGACCACGTCACGTGTGTGCAGCAAGCTAAACTAGCCTTAAGAATAGTAAGATAATATGATATATATGTACATATATATAACATTGATATATATATATATATATATAGAATGTATGCTAATGATGAACGCTGAGAGGTATACAGGTATATAGGAAAGTAAAATCTTTAATACGTTTCATATATATACATGTTGCTCAGAGCAACAGCAAAATTGCCAGACTCTGATTGTTATTGTTAAAACATTTTTTTGTTGAAAATTAAAAATCGATGTGTGGGAACTACTTAATCGTACGCTTAAATACGATCTTGTTTTAAATCGTTTTTACATTGACAGATACTAATTAATGATATTTAATGATAAACTCGTAAGATCAAGCGGTACGTCAATTAGTCTGCAACCAATATGCAAAATATGCATTAGGCTACTGCTAATATCTGTCAAAAGTTATTAAAAAGCAGGACATTTTAGAATTGCTGAAGATTCCTGTTTTTTTTTTATTATAATCATATTAAATTATGATGTTGGGTAAGAAATCGTGAATTTTTTTGGTAATATATCAGAAAGGATTCTTGTATGTATATTTGACAGCATATGGAGGAATGAAAGCCATGTGGTGTAAGGCACTTTTATGATTTCAAGAAATAAAAAAATTTTTTGATGTTAACAAAGACTTACATCACTATCGTTTCCATCCCTGTATATGTAGATTATACCTTCGTTTTAATTTGTTTTAAATTAATAATGATGTAAATCTTGATCAATTATCATTGCATGTGTAACATGCAGATTGAATTATAAATGTTAAAACAATCATAATACATTCTTGTATTTATTGATGCATAAAAATGATGAAAGTGTATATTTTCGGTATTATTATCTATATACAGGGCGTGTCTATAAAGTTTTTCCTCATCTTCCATATTTCGAAAATGATTTAAAATTATGAAAAACCACAAAATATGTGTTCGAGGGCTATTCTTTTAAAAAGATTGAGAGGTTATCCTCTCCCTCCCCTGAAGGGGATACATTGCAACTATTATTTCTAGTACAGTAAGAACATTTGAAAGAATTGAACATTAAGAGTTATTAGTTTGATAATGGAAACTTGCATTCTTTCGTTTTGCGAAAAATTTCCAAACATTTTTTTTATTTATTCGACATATTATATAAATTTGGTCCTTTGCAAACACCCTGTACATATGATGTGTAGCATCCTATATATATATATATATATATATATATATATATATATATATATATATATATATATAGGATGTCAAATGTGTCACTATATTTTATATATATATATATATAGGGTGCTTTTCATTTGGTAACAATCGACACAAGCATCTATGTTTTTTGGCATTCATTGAGTAAAGATAAAACGATATTTGTGTCATCAAATGAAAATATATACATGAAAATATTTAATTAGTTTGAACTTATATACATATACATATATATATAAAGAAAAAATATGTAGATATACATTATAAAACAAAGATTTACACGGTTTTTTGCCTGACATCGCGATTCATATGATTGTGAAAAAGAAATAATATGACCATTTTCTTCGCAAGTATGAAAGCGAACAACACAAAGAATCTGGCAACATTGCAGGGGTATAGCAACGCAATATATCCCTTTTGCACTTTACTTTTTTTTAAATATCATTATGACGGATTTTTATCTATTATCTAAATATGCAGTCATTACGTTTTCTTTCTCTTTATAAAATTTTTGTCAAAATAATTGTGATCGCTATTGGACGTATTCGTTGCCGTAACTCCTGAGCGTAATTCAAATGAATTATTAGCCTTTTCTTTTCTAGAATTAAGAACCTTCTACCGGGACGTCGAGACGTAATTCGTGTACGTATTATTCCGGTGAGAAGCGTACAGTTTTACGACCAAATGTATTCAGTTCTCAATTGCGCTTAATGAGCACAATTATTCTCGAGAGATACAGGGATACTTTTTATAATGTTCTGCATGACGGAAGGTTATTAAACTTTAAAGTAATCAGAGTGATTCAATGTTAGCTTGAAATAAATTCAATTTTGTTTCAAATTTTATTAGGATCATTTAGTAATTTGATTTAATAATTTGTTGCGATTATAAACTGCGACGTAATTTGACTTGTACTTTTGTATATCTTTTTACATCTCCTTATATTTGTAGGTAGACATATAAGGTGAAATTAATTCGCGCATGGTGATAACGATGCAGACACGATCAAGAGTCGGTCTCATCATTGTATAAGTATTCAATTCTCGTTAGAAAAATGTTTGAATAATTTTCCGTACTAAACCGTTCGTCGTTTCGTTATCATACTACGTACGATATACGTGTTTCTCTGAAATGTTAAAAAATCCGAAACTACGGTACCTTCCAAGGAAAGAAGAGGAAAAAGAAAGAAAAGAGAGTGTTAGGCGTTCTTGTAAACCTAAGTCTCGAACAAGTGCGGAGAGAATATATCACCATTTACTTATAATGTACATACATTTCCTGTAAAATCGTTTAATCCAAAAGTCGATTGCATTATGCATCTTCTAATTGTGCGTGTATACATATATACACACACATATGTGAGATATATAAATATATACATAAAACGTGATGAGAATGTGTATGTATGCATGTATGAAACATTATATTGTATGTGATGCGACCAGAAAATTTGTGCAAAACATTTACGATATATATATATATATATATATGTATATGATATGTATATATACACATATTTATATATATATATATACATATATATATATATGTGTATATTATATATATATATATATATATATATATATACATAGTTTTTAGCACCCCCTACGCCTCCACTCTCGGTCTTGATTTTATCTCGAAAGTACTAGTGCGAAATCGTATCGCTGATCGGATAAAAAAAAGAAAAACCCAGAGCGTGTCTAAATGTTCATACGAACGATTTGTATGAAGAATGGATACGTATAATTTCTGACGCGTAATGATAAACGTTAATAGGATTTTTTTACTTGTGTATATAAGCAACGGCGATACGACAAAAAATATTTAAAAAAAAAAGATAATCCGACGAGAAAAAGAGAGAACGAGAGAGCGCGGAATATGGGGCATGCAATGCAGTCTGCGAGAAAAAAAGAAGGTAAAAAAAGAGGAAAACAAACCTGTAAACATTAATGTTTTTAACGATCTTGTACACACGGAAGAACATGTAAATACATGGATAGATTATCATAATGCGAGTATAAACATTTAATGTTTTTAACGATCTTGTACACACGGATTACACGTAAAATGTAAATACATCGAAAATTATCGAAAGCAAACTTGTAATGTCTTATACTTACTTTTTCCTTCTTTCGAATCTCCTATTCTTTAAGGTATAGATATCTTGCAATAGCAGTTACTACAATAAATTATTTCGCTGCAATATTAGCGGTAGTGAACGCATATACTTTCTCTCTTTACCCTGTTTTTTAAGTACAGTTGCATTATTATTTTGTGTATTACGAGTATATAACCATTCGTATATTTAAGACCATTGTAAGTACTTCTCTGTGATAAACTGATCATGGAGCTTTATTAGCATCTTAAGACATTACTTAAGGTCTTAAGATGTTATATAGCTCAGTAATTGGTTTATAACATTTTAAGACTATACTTAAAATGATTTAAAAATAAGTATTGACTATGAATACCGATTCATAATATTTATTTAAAAGAAAAAAATCGCATCTGTCTCAATAAAAAATATTTTACTTGCGATAATCTCTAATTACGCAGTTTGATAAACCGGAATTTTTTATTTCTTTTTTTACTAAAATTCGATTTATTTTTTCAATAATCTCCTTTTAAAAAATCATTGACTTATGCCCATGTAAATTGTTGTTTATATTCTATCGCATGAGAAGTCAAGTGACTGGATTTGTTATGCGAATTCCGACGGTACGTTCCAAGAAAGCGCGTAAAATTCATTGCGAAAAACAAATTTATTTTCCTTTATCGCACACTGAGAGAGGGGAGGAGAGAGAGAGAGAGAGAGAATATTGGGAAAATCTAACTCGATGCGAGACAACAAAGAAAATCATAGTATTAAAATTTGTCATATGTTATTATTGCTAAAAATGCGACGGGGAAAAATGGAATAGATTCTTATTTATTTTCTCAAGAAATTTGTGGATACGTCATCATTAATTACATGACGTATCTTTCTCTACATATAATGCATTAATCAAACCTTTCAATTTTATTGTGTTCGCCAGCAAGACGAGAATCGCGAGAATCATCGCGACTGAGCTCAAATAAAGTAACCACCTGTTTCTTCTCAAAGTTCATTCGGTTTTAATATACGTCAAGAACATAATAAAGGGCTGTATAATTTTACGAAATTACTCATTTCGATAATGCATTACAATTCGCGCTCGTCTGTCTGTCGAGAATTTCATTCGGCTAATTTTCGGGCGAAGATCAATCGAAGGCATAAATTTTTACAAAACTGCTTTTTATTATATACTGCTTTACAATCGGACTAAGAGCCTCAATTATTCATAGATTAATCATTTTTTTTTTTTTTAACATAAAGACATCGTGATCTCAATTCTGCACAACGTCGATTTATTAAAGAATAATTAGTAGATATTTTTAACTAATATTAATAAACGTCGCGACAAAGTTGACCGCTTCTATTGATCTCCGCGTGTCGAGTGTCACCTAATTAAAGTAGAGAAATAGTTTTGTTTCGATTGTGCACGGGGGATTGTACTTTACATAGGTATATTTATAGGCCGTGTTCCGATATAAGCCGTCAATACTAAAAATCTATAGTTCATTCGTTACGTATACTATAGATTTTTAGTATCAGCAATGTATACCAAAACACGGCCTTAAAGAGTTCGGGTGCACGCCGTACATCGACGTACACCGTGCGTCTTGTTATAATTGTTAATCACAATCGTCGAATATGTACAAGGATTCTGTACAGGGATTCGTATTTACCATTCGTCGTCACGCATACGCGCTATATCACGTAGAAATTCGATTATTACACATAAGTATCGTACTATATTTACGATGCAAAAAGGTATTCGTTCATAAACTAGTTCATACCGCGAGAGCTGTATAAACAGCGACAGGCATCGTGACACTGATACTGACATCGACAGGATCAGGAGACGACTCGAAGCCCGCGCGACGTGTCATCGTCTCGCTCGGCAAATCACTATTCAATACAGCGTAATTTTTCTTCATCAAAATTAGAAATTATCGAACTAAATTAAGAATCTAAAGGTTTGCGCGATTATTTATAACGAAGTAGCTTTTTACGTCAATAACGAATATTTCAATAATAAAAATCTGCGTCAATCAAGCCTCTAAAAAAAAAAACGTTATAAGAACGTAGAAAATGTCCTACACGTTTAAATGCCACTTAAACATCTCTTGTGTCCGTTTCCACCAAATTAGATCAACTTTAATATCGGTTCAACTTACTTTTCATCTTTCTCTAGTTCTGAGAATTAAGGTTAATCTACATTATATAGAGTGGAAACAGGCATTAAACTTCTTTGCACCTTTATACTGGAGGGTAATAGGAAGGAAATATGATTCGTTTGAAGATACAGCGGTCGCAGAAATTCAAAATGATGTCTCGACGATCACATATCTGTTTACTAAAAAGCGTAATGCGATTTTTCGGTGAGTAGGCCAGGCTAATCTTGATGCCGTACCACTTTATCGGCCATCCACTTTAGGCGCGTTATAATCCTACATTTACGTAACTACAAGATCATATATAAGGTGAATCTAAATTGTTCGTTGATATTTTAGAGATCTAGAATTTAAAAAAAAGTGTACGAATTAGAGAAAATGCTCGAAATGCACACCTTTCGCTGCGATATTTCTAAAAACATTCGTAATATACAACTTCATTATGATCAACCTACACATCAGGATATTTCAAAATTTTTAAGTTTAAGACAACAATATTTTAAATAAAAGTTGTTCAGTTATTAAAGGGAAAGAAGATAACCTTGATTGACTTTGGAAAAATTAAGCAATAAAGTTCGAAATGAAAAAGATGATGATGTCCTCAAGCTGATCTTTTCTTCATCTCAAACTTAATTGTTTTAAGATAATGGGGTTGTCCTACTGATTTTTAAGTCCCATCATTTAATAAAGTATTTAATGAAGAAACACTTTATTATAGTGTTTTGGAAAGATAATAAACAAGATTGACAAAAAATGTTTTTTTTTTATAAGAACAAAACTTTTTTTTTTAAACATGTTTCTAATGCTTCATTGATGTGTTTTAAACAGTATTATAAAAAAAACATGTTTAAAAATGTCGATTAAGCATATTTTAAACAGTTTGAAACACGTTCAAAACATGATTTTACCAATCTTGATAATAAATCGAGCCATACAGCATGAATAGCTTGGAGATATCATTTTAAAATTTACCATCATTTAGGAGAACTAAAAGCTAAATAACGAAAACTCACTTAGCATTTTTGCCTTGTTCTAGACTCTTAAACTTGTTTTCCGACAGTATCGGCGTGCAATCAAGAATCACCTTGTATATCTAACATCACCGTTTGCGAAGGCTCTTCTCGTTTACTTTAGTGCGTATGCGAACCGCTCCGGTTGGATGGAACGCCGTTCCATCGTCAACGCGTACGCTCGTTGTATACACGTGACAAATAGAAGTCCCGTCCACGCGCAGATATTACGCGTATGTACTGTAAATCGGCAGAGAATCGGGACGCGCACTCGCGAAATCGGGACGCGCACGTGCAAGATTAATATACATCGCTGATCCCGCTCATTCATAAACACGCGCGCACACACATCGATTTTTCATTCTTCTATTTGTAATTTCGTTACAATACAATTTCGCGTATGCGTATATGTACACATTTATCAGCCACACTGGCTCTAAGGCCGCCGAGAGTTTCCCTACTTTCGGGATCTCTTCGCGCCTTCCTTCCTCGCGAAAGGATAGAATACACATTAACAAAGTTCATGATTTTAATGTTATTAAAGGAGGAAAGGCAAGTCTCTTTATTAGGAATAGGCTTAGTAAATCACTTCGTATACAGTGGCCTTCTTGTCGCCGGATCCGGTCACAATGTACTTGTCGTCTGCGGAAATGTCGCAGCTCAGCACCGACGACGACTCCTTGGACTGCAAAGTTTAATAAAAATATTGACAAAAAATAAAACTTACGAGAACGTCATTATTCAATTTTATACATATTAATTTGTCATTTTGAAAAAATTCTCTCTCTTAAAAATTTGTTTCAACCAAATTGAGTTCAATAAATTTAAAAAGAATAATAATAAAATACAAGAGATAGAAAAGACAATTTAGCCCAAAAGAAAGTCCAATATACATATATATCCCGTTTTACACGAACGCTAAGTTTTAGGTCGTGGCTGGATGCCAAACGAACAGAAAAAAATTGGGACGAAGAATATAAATTATCCCGTCAATTAGTGTCTGCATTTAAATACTTGCCTGAAATATTGAAGCACCGTATGGCGTACGCCACGCATTCAGCAGATTGTCCTTGCCAGTCGAAACGAACCACTTGCCGCAGGAGGCGAAACGCAGCGAGAGCACGCAGGAATCGTGCAGATGCAGCTGGTACTTGTCGGACTTGGTAGCATGGAGTACCTCGACGTTCGAGTTCTCCATTCCGACGGCCAGCCACTCTCCGGTAGGGCAGTAACCGAGGGAGAATATCTGCGAGGTGAAATCGTGCTGCTGCAGCTGCCTACCCTCGCGAAGGTCCCAGGAACGCACGGTATTGTCGAGACCGCCGGTCCACAATTTTGATCCATCAGCCGAGATGTCGATGCAAGACGCGCCGTCCGTGTGACCTTGGAATTGCCTGACCAACGATTGATTCTGCAAGTCCCACACGGCGATATTGCCGTCGCTACAGCAGCTGAAGCAGACTTTCGAGTCCGGCGAGATCGCCAGGGCGTAACACGCAGGCGCCGACGAAGTTAATTCCGCTTTAATTCTGGGCGTGGGACTAGCTAGGTCCCAAATGCTCAGTTGACTGGCCTCTCCGCCGACTATCAAGGTCCTCCCGTCAGGCAGAAGTTTCACGGACCTGGAAGGTAAAACACGCCGATTTCGCCGAATGTCTTTCGTTTAATTAGTTTTACTTGTTAAGAAATTTTATTTTAATAAATATAGTCACTTTAATCTATGTCACTTTCTTCGTGATACACTAAATAACGAGTCAAATTTATCCAGGTACATCATTAGCACATATTTCAACGCTCAGCATAGGTCTTTTATTAGACATCGCCAACGCAACATTTAGAAATAAACAGAAGTTCTAAAGTTTCTATTTTTATATTTTATTTTAAAAATGATATTGCAATGAGACGATACTGCTTTGGTTAAAATGAAAGTAAACATAATATAATAACACAATAATTAAGATAATTTTTGTCAGTTTTTAAAAGATTTTTTTATTTCGCGTAATTCGCTTTTTATTTATTTCTAAATTTTTTGCCTCTTTTTAATTTCTTTAAAATTTCGCAGCACACTTAGAAACCCTTTACACTGAAAAATGAAAATCTGATTTATGTGCTGTAATAACTCCAAACAACAGTCTCGTCTCTTTTACTTTAAAATAAAATTATTAGTCACTACCAAGAAACTAAAAGAAATTATTCGCTACCTACTCGAGATCAAATCGTGCACGTAATCCTTTACGCGAAAGTATCTAAAGATCAATGGAACGTTTAGACGTAACAGTGAGATACCAATCACTCAGAGCTCTCACCTAATGTAATTGTCACGTTGCAAACAGTCCAGCTGCGAAACTGGTTTCACGCTGGCGCTGCCGACACTTTGGCCGATATCCCAGACCTTGACGCAACCTTTGCCGCCGGTGTAGACGTACTTGGTCGGATTCGAGATCGTAACGGCACAAACCACTTCGCCGTGTGTCAGGGTGTTAATCTGACGTGCGTGACGCGGGATACCCGGTCCTACCAGAGCGTCCGTGGGGAATGGTACAGGCTGCAGTTGGCCCTCGCCGTTCATATGGTAGGAGTACGCCCTGCGCGAAATAAACGCAAGTGTTTAACGCTCTTATCGCGAGGGACAATGCCAGGGGCGAAGTGAGTTACAAGGGAATTTCGCAAAATGTCAAATTTTGATTTTAATGAAACTTTGTATATATATAATAAATGGATGGATTTATAGAAAATATCAGTTGCGACTAATAAACAATTTTAAGGGGTGAAATCAATCCTCGCTCTAATTTACTATGATAACTGAAAAGTTTTTCAGAAAATAAATTTGAATATTTTGAATCTTTAAAATTTTATACTATTATATTAATTTTGAAATACAATTTCTGTGCGATAATTGATTGTAGAAAAATTGAGAGAGAGAAATATGTTCTATTAAACTAAAGATATAAAGAGTTTTCAGCTTTTTTTGTTATATGTCAAGAACTTTTCAAGATAGCAAAAAACGTTCTATACTAATAATTTAAAAAAAAAATAATTAATTTTTTAAATCACTTATTTTATTGCCTTTTACTTTATATAAGAGATGATTTCATCCCTTAAAACCGCGATTAATATTTTCTAAATTCATCTATTTATGTAATTTATATATATGTATACAAAGTTTCATTAAAATTAGAATTTGAACATTTTACAAGATTTCCTTGTTAAAAAGACGACATCCAAGACGACTTTTTTTCACGTAAATTATAATTACGTACGGTTTGCCACCTGCGATGTTGTTCAATCCGTTACTCGCGGGTATCCTCATGTGACCGTCGAAACCGATCTGCGGAAGAGATGATCGCTCAGTATTGTGACGCACAGAGATGAGAAAAAAATAAAGGCGCGTTTATTTATAGCACAAAAATACGAAATAAATGGCCTTAGGAAACGGTCATCGTCGATTTGGATGATTCTTACACGAGTCTGATACGAGATTGATCGCGTTTTAACCTTAGGAGGACCTCTGCCAGTTTGACCTTTCTGATCATTCGATAAATACTAAGTTTAGATTTCATCAGATTCGATTTAGATAACTTTACGGTATCCATGAAGACAATCAAAGAGAAGAAGCTTATAGAACGTTTATAGAAGTCCTTCTAGGGTTAAAAGAAATTAATAGTAGTATAAACGGTTGCGGTCCAAAATCAATTTGTATTTTTTTTTTTCAGTCGCATATAAAACTATATTAATTAATTAATGAAAGCGTGGTAACGTAAGGACTAAGGTGTTACGGGGTCGTGAATCACCATGGAGGGCCGCGCGTATGGCAAGTTGCTGTATGGCGAGGGCGACTGCGGCGGCTCATTGCCGCGGGATGGCAAGCCCTGATAACCCTGCGGTGGCGTTTGCTGCGACGATGGCGGATGATAGACCCGCGCCAAGGACCCAGGGATGCCGCCCATAGTTGGCGTACAACTGCGCGAGCCCCTCGCCGCCGCCACAGGTGTACCCGGCTTGTCGACCTGGCGAACGCACGGTGTTTGCACCCACTTTTGCAGACGCTCACTGTGTCGCAATCGTACTAAGTTCTCGACCATGCCGATTGCAAATTTGCTGACCATGTCAGCCGCGATATCTTTCCTTTTCGTTTCGTTTCGTACGCGGCGGCAGAGAGCCGCTGCCTCGAGACGATCGATCGGGTAAATAAAAAAAAAAGTACCGTGTTGTCGCGGAAATGTTACGATATGATTAGGGCCGTCAAACGCAAGAGCCTGCGTCGAGCAGAAATTGCGCTGTACTCAGGGCACGTATTATGGAAATGTTCGAAATGGATTCCGATCGGAGTTATTTCGTTTTCCCCCAGAAAACACAATAGAAATCTAGGGAATAATTGAATAATTCCGATCGGATCCCGTCCCGAATAATTTTATAATACGTGCCCAGATGCCAAATTCTTCTTCGATTCTTCAACGAGAGTCGATATCCTTCTCACGATAAAAAATCGAATTGCCAGCCGATTATTGGATTCATTGTTCAATCGATTTTTTTCCGGCTTGCATCAAGGAGATAATTTAAATGCCAAACAATTGAATATGATTGATTTTTACCTATAGATCCAATCAATTAAGGTCAGAGCACAGACTCAATTCGTCTGATTCTGATTGATTTATCAGAAAAGATAAATCATTTCATAGAAAAGAAAAAAACTTTGGTCAATTCTTTTACAGTTTATGCATTATGCGTTATACAAAGATCTGTGTTCTGGTCTTTACGTTCAATCGTTCAGCGAGTAGGATAACTCAGATAAAACACGGTCATAATTTAAATCATAATGACATCATGGAACGTCATCATGACGTAATTTGATACTTAAAAATAAACTTACAGGTATAAGTAAAGTCATGGTGACGTTCTTATGATATTATGACTTTCGTGTTTTATTTGGGAGACTGTTAAAAAATTTCAAATCTCTATTTATTTTATCCTTGTTGTTTACTGAATGTTAAGTAATAAAGGATAAAATAATAATATATAATTGATCATATAATGGTGAATTACGAAACAAATTCATTAGTATTACAAATGACTGCCAAATGGATGATTGGAGAATTTCGTAGGGTGCATTCAAGTACTACAACTGCTCACTGAGCGCTCGGTGAACGATTGTACTGGTTATTGAATGCGCCCATAGTCCGTGCCGGTCGCGCTTCTCTGATTATTTAGAACTTTACACGTTACGAGCACATACATTTTCAACTTTGTGTGTAAAACAGTATCTATTTAACATACATTATTAATAATAATGGATTTAATTGAACTCGATTCTTTAGAATCGCTTCATTTTCCCCTTCTTCGATTATAAAAAAACGTGGTTTTTCAAAAAGATTTCAAAGAATCGATTCACTTTACAGAAAACGGCATCACTTGAATACGTACAACGAATTGCGCTCGATTGAAGATACTTTTACAATTGTTTTCAACACAACGATCGCACAGTTTTGTCATACTACTTGCCTCTTGGTCACCGTTCCGTCCTTGAAAATAAATACATAAGTGAGTAAGAATTCGTAAAGAAGAAAGAGATGAAACGTCTGACGACCCTATATAGGTACCACGCAAATAGAAGAGATCGACTTTTTAAGCTCGCTCCGCGAGAGGGTTTTCGGTACATGTATGGGCGACAGAGTCACGACTGGGCCGGGTCGCAGCGCCGAATAAGCTTACTCTCCGCGAGATCTTACATCTTTACTTTTCAGAGACGGTGTACTACGGGCGGAGGAGCTGCCGCTGCGCGACGGCGGCCTGTCCTTAACGGATGCCGAGCCCGCGCCGGATACCGGTCCGCCAACGTGGCCCGGTGCGCCCAGCTTCTCCAGGGTGCCGTTTTCACGTGGGTCCGAGTGCTCCCCGTTCGCGTGCGGCGACGACGCCTCCTTTCGCGATACGCAAATATCAGGATTTCGTTAAACGAACACACGCAATATCCTACTTAAGATATAGCATGCGATAGCACCAGTCTTTTTTTCATTTCGGCAATATATATCTTTATCCGCAAAAACTTTTTCTCTCGTTTCTTAACATCAAAATAGATTTTTTAATAAGATTTTTTTTTTTTTAATAGATTTTTATTTTCTAAAAAGTATAATATATACAAGCTTGGAACAAAATCATTTCGCGTCGTTTTTTTTCTCCCGACAACAATATCAGTTTTAATTGACATTAAACAAGTGCAAAGTTTAAAACTCGCATGCAAAGTATAATTATGAAAGATAATTATAATTATGTGTAAATAAATGTGATATTACATAAATAGATAGATAGATATATATATATATTTTTTTTTCTTTTAAAAATTAATGGATAAATGACGCTTTTTTAATGACATTCTTACCTCGTTCGCCACATCGACGACCAGGTCTTGGTCGCTCTTTTCAGCATCGCTCTCCTGAAAAAGTCGAAAAGACATGTGAGACATGACGATGATATGGTCCACGCGAGCAATCAGTCTACCGAGTACATGATCGAGCTTTTGATGCACCTCCCGTCCAAGTAGACGTGCAACTCGACCCACATTCTCGTGTGTCCTACTGACGGACGCACCCTTCGAGATGCATTATTAATCTCGATGCCTCGCTCACGCGATGCTCCGATTGTGCTCGAACAATAAATTAACGGTACAAACGCCTGGAGGCAATAAGCTCCGGCACACGGTGTATCGACATGAGCTCATAAATGCGTAATCTGACTCCAAGTCGAAACGTTTACGCTCAATTAAGCTTGATAATTAAATACTAAAATATTAAAAAAAAAAAAGACTACGTTTATTCTGTATAATTCCGTCGAATCTCTGGCGCTCCGTAATACGAATTCGACTCGACAGTATAATGGCAAGTATAATTAGGAAGAAAGTGTTATTACACAATTACCTGTATACATTTCTCATTCGTGAAACAATTTGCGGCTATCGTATACGTTTATCTTATACCAAGCTATATCTATAACAAGCCCGTTACCGTCCCTGCAATTTTGCATCCATACTGTATGTGGCCGTAGCGCACGTATATCGCGTACGGCTAATTTATGTGGCATTTATCTCGTAACACTACTTATCGGTTATCTTTCACTCGGTGCAAGAGCGGAGGCCCGCCGCCTCGCTCCTCTCTCGGCTCTCAGAACGTGGCACATAACGAGCTCAAAGCAGGGCACGCGATAGTAGCATTGCCCGCCTAATGACGTAATATTATCGTAGCGTATAACGTCCCATCGATGCACCGCGCGTGCATTTTGTACGTATGTGCACGAGAGGATTTTGTGAGAGGGTGAGCCGCGTATATATGGACGCACGAAACCACCTGTGCGCGTCGCGACCGTTTTAAGTAATTCAGCTCTGGCGGGTATTTAAAAAATTCCCCCGCTAACTACCACACCGGCCGCCTAACGTGATCTTATCCGACGTCCCAGCGCATGCATAAATTACATTCGACTGCACAGGAGAAAATTGTCCGCACGGTTTAAGGAAAATTGAAATCGTAGATTAGCAGGAGAAGCTCGGAGTAATTTAAAAAACTTAAAAATCTACGCGTACATTTTTTTTTTTTTTAGACGTATCTTCGCATTTGTACTTGAATATACTTTCGTAGCAAATACGGATGCATTTAAAAGACTTAATACAAATAGATTTTTTTTTTTTTAGATCGCCAGGTTAATCACAAGGTATTTAAAGATTACCGAGATGTTTTTATTTGTTATTTAATTGCGGTTCGATTTTTTTATTTGAAAAGAAAAATTTTGCGCTGTGAAGAGCAAGAGATGCGTTTGGCTCAATTTGCTGAGGGCCAACATTTTTGAAAGATACGAGAACAAACAACTGGACGAGATAATCGATAAGTACTTTTTGAGAAAGATAGCCAAACCAATTTCCGAGAAGGAACGCGTTAAATGGACCGCGTGACATTAACCGGACTAGGACGAAATCGCAATCTGGCCGCGCCAGATATCCTCGAGAGGAATGTTTCGAGCTGCTAGGGACACGCAATAAATTTGTGTACGGATGATGAGCTTGGGTAAATAGAGAAGGCAGTGTGGTGGTATTGATTTCAGTGGTATATTACTCGGAGTGGCGAGAGCGAGGGAGGGAGGAGGAAACGGGGGTGCGAGGTGGCGTTCTAGAGTGGCGGCGGAGGAGCGCGGTTATGAGAGAGACCGAGGAGGAGGAGGGGAGGGGCGAAGGGTGACCAAGAGAGCGGGAGAGAAGACCGAAGGAGACGAGGAAGAAGGTGGTCGACGGGTGGAGGCTGTCTTCCACCCCTTAACCCGCTCGTTCTAGCGTTAAATATGATACAAATGTTATCATCCCTTCTATTCCGTTCTCCTGTTTCCCACCCGACGGCGACGGCGGCGGCGGTGGCGGCGGCAGCGGCGGCACACGAACCACGAGCGACCATCCTGACCCCCCTGGGTCCCTCCACCCCCTCCTCACCGGCCTCGTCCTTTACTACCACCGCCAACCCTCCCTCTCTCTCTCTCTCTCTCTGTCTCTCTCGTGGCGCTGCTTCCTCCGCCGACCTCTTCCCTCGTTTAACCCGGGGATAGCGCGGGGATGACGGTATTAAGGGCAGCTCTATTATTCGACCACCCAACCACTCGACTCTTCGCTTCGAGAATTCTCGAATCCTTTTTTTTTTTGCCTCCTCATCCTCCTTCTTCTCCACTTCGGCTCGTTTCTTTCCTTCGCGACCTCTCGTCTCCCTCTTCGCACGTCTACCCCAGGTACTTTTCTGTTACGGTCCCTCCGCTCCGGATCCTTCTCCCCTTCCTGCTACCGAGGTCCTGTACCCTCGTTCCGTACCAGCCACCTTCTATCGAGGTCCTCTGTAAACAAACGCACGAGAGCGAAAGAAGAATCGAAGGCTTTCCATGTGCTCTCTTCCCTCGCCGTCTATCTACTCCTTCTACTACTTCTTCTTCTTCTTTCACTTCCTAGTCTCGTCTCCCGCTGCTGACTTTCGCAAAGTTAAGCGAGTGGCTACGATGGGAAAAGCGGCGTGTCCGCTCTCGAACGGGAATGGGATTATCCGACCATACGAGCGCTCGGCTATTGCATCGCATACAAAATCCGTCGCGTTCGCCGATTGCAAATACACGCAGGGATATCATTTGCACATCGGCGTTTAATTTTCGCTGCGAGGCGTAAACTCTCGTAAAATTCCCATGCAAATTTAATTATACGGTACAATTTGTAAAACTCCAATTTTACAGCTTTTAACGTGAAGCAACTGCAATGCATAACATGGAAAATGCGTGAGTGTACACTCATTGTGACGCGAAAATCAATTTCTCCGAAACATCTTATTGTATTTGAACGAAGAAAAGAAAAAGCGTATGAAGATTTTAACGTACCGAGGAGAATTGGATACTACGTGGCTTCTGACGTTAAAGCGTGTCTGGGATGATACAAGGCAGGGTATTCAGTGTATTTAGTCTAAGGCGACGACGCGCGCGCTAGTAAGTATTATCTCCGAACTTTTACAGGGATGACCGCTTTTATGTTTCGTAGCGAGGACGAGCAGTGGAAATAGGTATATATTAAAGCGATTATGTCGCGTGTGCTGAATATACATGGAGATACGAGAGGTTACGTACGGAGGGTGAGCACGTTCGAGACGACAAAAATCGTCCGTCGCTGTGACGTTTCATCGTCGAGAATAACGGTAGGTCAAAGGTATACTCGTCGGTGCGAAAGGAAATAATAAAATATAATAAGCAATACATTTATCTCTTTATTATCTCTTACTTCAAGAGTATATATAGAAACTCCCTGAGAATGTCAAAGCTCGAGTATGTAGAAATCAAGGGTGAGATGCGATAATCACCGCGATCACGATGACGTTATGATGTTAAAGAAAGTTGCACACGTGATTATCGATAATGACGAGTGTCGATAAATGACGAGGAAACTGACTTTGGAACTGGCTTAAAACTAACATCGAACTCTCCGGCAAGTACGTCTTTTCGGTGCAATAGTAATCTCGGCTTCGGACTTTAGAACTCAGAATCCGTTTCACAGACAGTCCGCTTCAGAATCCACGCCTTGCTGAATGCGCTCCTTAATGCGCCCTTAATGCGGGACTTGTACGCGCGTCGCGGAAATTGACGCGTTTCGAGACTGCGACCGGGAGGTGATATTCCTCTTGTTTTCCCTCTCTTTTTTTTCCCTCGTCGCGCGGCGACGAGCGACGAAAATGTATTAAAGCGTTTTTCCAGCGCGCGGAAAGGCGCGAGAGGATGGAAGGAAGGGGTCATCGGGGAGTGGAAGGAAAAGAGACGAAGACACAGACGAGGGCGAAGAAACGGAAGAAAAGGGTAGCAGTCGTTGACGGAGAATAGGGATGGTGGGGGATTTAGCTCCGGGAAAAATGGTCGTAGGGCGGAGGAGAAAATAAAGGGGAAACGGTTCGTATGAAAATGTAATTAGGGGAAGCGTGGAAAAGCTCAGCTCATTGCGGCCTCCAACCTTTTCTCACTTCTTCCGCTCTCTCTTCTCTCTCTCTTTTCTTCTCTCCTTCACACGCATTTCCGCCTTTTATTTCCTTCTACTTCTCTTCCACCTTCGCGCGATTCCCTGTTGCCACCAATTATAATTTCTTAATCGCGGCTTCATTAATCGCGATTCATTCATCCGCGCCGATGGCAAAATTTATCACCAGTATTTTATGTACTCGCGATACAACTAACGTGATCACATTTATTTCCTCCATCGGCGCAACCTTGCGTTAGTTTTTGTCGAATGTAGGTCTTAAAGCTATCACGGTTTTTTAACAATTACACACAGAAAAATATCACTTCGTTGCTGAGAAAAGTGACTACTTAATTAATTTTCTCCCTACAGTTATCTTTAACAGTTATCTTTAACAAAAATATATTCTTGATAATAATTTTAAAATATATTTATTATAAATTTTAGAAAAACTCTTCATTATGTGCTCAAAACAAGAGTTTATTTTCTTTTGAAGAATATTTTAAAATTGATCGGAAAAGCGACTTTATCTAATAAGCAAATTGATTTATTTTAATTTAATAATCTTGATTAAAACATTAAACTTACTAGGATTCAAAATATATTTTGAATAAATTTAATGCTTTTAATAAACTTATGATAGATATGAATTATATGAATTCTTAAAATATTTGGAAGAAGTAATTATTACTTGCGTATAGTATTTTTCTATATGTACCACTTCTTAATATTTAGAATCGGTACTAATCACTTTTATAATTAATCTTATTTTATTAAATTTTTTTTGAATTATACTTTTTTGAATTATACAAATATCTTAACCCTAAGAATCTACCCTTTTCGTTTACTACTTTTAAATTCCTAGCTGCTTATGACACAATTTTCAAATTAACTCATTTACCATGATGAAAACTACGTCTATAATTGGT